AGGAATCCGTGATTAACGGGATGCTGCCAATCCAGGGAGTTGAGGGCTAGGCAAGAATTGCGAGTTAAACTATCTCGCTGGAAAGGCGGAGACATGCTGCACGACCGGCGACTGCCTCCCTTCTAGGTAAGCGCTCCCCTGCGTTGAGATTAATCCTCCCAGGCGCTTTTAACTTGTGCCGAGGTGTGTATTGATTCTGTTGTGTCCATCCTCTGAACATTTTTACGGTGTCTATTCACCACTTCGCGAGAGTGATCGACAATGAACAATACCTCACTCTTCTCCTGTCCTTCCGGTGAATTTCGCGCTCTAATGCGGCGCGTACTGTAGATCCGTCCTTTGATTTTCTTGACGCGGCGTTGGCGTGGCAACCTCGCTGGGCATTGATTGAGGCTATCATTTATTGAGCGGTTGCCATTGTGGTAGAGTGTGCTTTCACTTCTTATGGAAATGAGCACTTCCATTTCACCTAAGCAGGTCTTCATGTGTGCATTTCGTTTTGTTCTTTTCATTCTTCATTCGGATTGACACTTGCGGATAGCAAGCTCGTGTCGTTGCGGTGTGGTTCGCTTGGACGGGTTGGACCTTGGATTCCTGCAGCGAAAAAAGTTTCGCGCTGCGAAAAAAGTCGCCCTCTGTCCTAGCGAACCAGACCCATGTACTTGAAGGGGGGGGGGGGAGACTGAAGTGTGTGAGCCACCTATGGAAGCTTTGGGTAGGAGTTAGGGATGGATTTGGCAGGAAGTTGCGATTTTGTTCTCTGGCGTCTCTCCGCTCTCCTTTGCTAGTTCTGTGTCACCTGCCAGCGGGTTTTGAATGCCCTGTTCTGAATACTTTTTCAAGGATATGGGCACCTATTTCGATCCTTCGGCCGCGTTCATAGTTCGCGACTCCGGAGATTAGGATAGTACGCGACAATGAAAAACATATGTATTGACGGGGAGATTAGGATAGTAGTAGAGGATAGTAGAGATTGCGCTGACAAGATTAGATACGTATCGATTGAAATCGCCGGAGAGTAGTAGATTACGATATCACGGTAATGCGACAGTAGTAAGTAGGAGAATAGGATAGGCCGCGTTCATAGTTCGCGACTCGGGAGATTAGGATAGTAGGCGACAGGATATTAGGATAGTAGTAGAGTAGGAGATTGCGCTGACAAGATTGGATACGTATCGATTGAAATCGCTGGAGAGTAGTAGATTGCGATATTACGATAATAGGATAGTAGTAGAGTAGGAGATTAGATAGGCCGCGTTCATAGTTCGCGACTCGGGAGATTAGGATAGTAGGCGACAGGATATTAGGATAGTAGTAGAGTAGGAGATTGCGCTGACAAGATTGGATACGTATCGATTGAAATCGCTGGAGAGTAGTAGATTACGACTTCAAGGTAATGCGATCACTAAATAACTAGAGAATATTAGGCCGCGTTCATAGTTCGCGACTCGGGAGATTAGGATAGTAGGCGACAGGATATTAGGATAGTAGTAGAGTAGGAGATTGCGCTGACAAGATTGGATACGTATCGATTGAAATCGCTGGAGAGTAGTAGATTGGGCGACTTCAAGCGAATAGATCAATACATATCTAATCTTGTCAGCGCAATCTCCTACCCTATCTACCTATCCTCCCTAATCTACTACTATCATTAGGTGCTATACAAGTAGGGTGGGCCGCATTTTTTAACAAATTATATAAAGTGGGACTGCTGCCCGCTACTATACTGTCACGAGAATCGGGGAATTCGTGAGCCAGGGGGAGTGTAGCCAATCTAGGGGGTGGGGGGTGAGGGCAGTCACTTGACATGCGTGAAAAGCTGGGTGTGCCCACCCCACTTGTATAGCACCCTATCTTAATTTGCCGTCAATGCATATGTTTTTCATTGTCGCGTACTATCCCAATCTCCGGAGTCGCGAACTATGAACGCGGCCACAGTGCGCTGACAGGATTAGATACGTATTGATCGATTCGCTGAAGTCGCCCAATCTACTACTCTCCAGCGATTTCAATCGATACGTATCCAATCTTGTCAGCGCACTATCTGACTCTCCTAATATCCTGTCGCCTACTATCCTGAACTCTCAAGTCGCGAACTATTAACGCGGTCTTCCTTTTGCTGATGTAACTAGTTCAGATGTCACGCGGTGGACGTATGGACAATGGAGCGATGAGGAAGAGGCGCAGTGAAAGAAGTCGCTCAAGCAGTCCGTTAAAGGGAGATCCGAAAAGAATTGCAGGTGTGCTTCGCATTTAGATTTGTGATTATGTCAAAGGAATTTGCAGAAGATTGCTGTAAATAACGAGAAAGGAGAGCTGTCGGATGCGATGTTCAAGTTGTATACGACCGTGAGAAGAGATGGATTTATATAAAAGTCGTGGTTGCGCCTCATATTTCTCCGGTTTTCTTCGATATTTTTTACGGAGGCGGAATTTGGACAACCGATCACGTTCGAGGACGAGGCTGGAAATGGTTTTGTGCCATCTCAGACCTGCCTCTTGAGTCTCTTACGGCTTTGCGCTGCAGTTATGGCACGCCTTTCAATCGGAATAGAAGCTTTTTGTTTTGAAAAATCAGTTTCTAGTTTTACGTTTCTCCTGTCAGAATTGAATTTAGTGAGTGGCTTCGAAAAATTTGGAGTAAAACTAGGAACTGATCGTGACTTTCGGAGTACAAAGTTTGATCGCAGAGGCGCATGTTCAACTACTAGTAAGATACTAGTGTGCGTCTACCGTCAGCCGTCCAGTTTGCACATTTAATCGTACAGCGTCGTCATTATCGCTTGGTACATGCTCCCTCTGAACTCCTATAAAAGAGTTTCAGGAAAGCTCACAGATGCGACTGTTTAGTCCGAATAGTTGGTGGTACAAGATGTGTTACTTTCAAAGATCGCTCCATCAACCGTTTAGGTGGACGTGATGGAGACAGACGCAGTGGTGCTGGTAGCATGGGCGAACGTATGGTGTTTATCACTAATCTTGCCTATGAGGTCCGCTGGGTGGAGCTGAAGGATATTCTGCGTGAGCATGGTGGAGAGGTTCGATATGTTTCCTGCTACCCATTTCATGCGGACCAGTGGAATTTCCCAAGTCTCAACACGTCTCGATTGATCACACAAACATCAAACCCTTAACGTGATAGTTTTCTTGGTATCAGTTGGCCCTACCTTTCATTATCCAAGGAATAGCTCCGATTGATCCCACTGACATGATAGTTTCTTCATAGATTTTCCAACGTCATTAATTCTGTACACATCGTAAGCGATAATTGTTTATGAATTGCGTCCTCATAGTGCACCCTCTTTCCTATGGTCCGCTCCCTTGGCTAGTGGTTCCAAGTTTTGCTACCGGTTTGTTGTCGTGTCAAATTAAGTTTAGGTTGTTTTTGTCGAGCTGTTGGAAGATCGCAACGGACATCCGAAGGGGAATGCGATCGCCGAGTTCAAAACGAAGGAAGGTGCAGCAAAGTGCATTAAGAATCTCGACGGCTTCGAGATTCGAAAGAGAAAAATTATTACGAAACCAATTCGCGTATGTTCTTCTCGTTTTTTGATCTTGGTCTATTTGTATTCTTCTTGACATGGAGACTCTGTGAGATCGGTACACCTCAAACGTCGGTGTATCTTCGCATCTTTACCACTCATGTCTGGTCAGACCTTGGATCCAGGAAATGTAATAGTCTACATCTGATCCCAGGACTGTCACTTCGATGCATTCCCTTGCGTATGAAATAGGCGGAATACAATTTTGTGATGGGGAATCGTTGAGCCAGTGTTTGATGTAGAGCACTTTCACTACGGTTACGGAGGAGGTTTGCGACACTTGATCATGAAGCATTCTTAACTCTCAGTTGTATGCGTTGAAGTCGCAATTCCCAATTTTGGCTCTGGCGTCCAGTTTCTTCTCCATGCTCAAAGGCAAGCAGCGTACAAGTTGTCATTGTTGTGGAGGTTTCTCTAAAGGTGTGGTGGGCAAGGGATTAAAAGAGTAACAGAATCAAGCTTCGAGTTGTGACTTACTGTTTTCCCATCCTCTCCCTTAAATCCAAAATGGTATAGTTGGGATGGAACAAAGTGAAGAGCGAATAAGTACGTAATCAATCGAAAAAGGGCACCTTTGAACCTTTTATGGGTCTCGGAACAGGATCAGATATTTAGTTTCGAGATGTACTTTATCTCTTGTCACCTTCCCCCCCCCCTTCCTTCCAACCTCAGGGAAGTTCAGATTCAATTTAACGAAGCTGTTCCGCTTCAGTATATGTCGTGAATCGGAAAAGTGCAGTTGTGGCTGGTTACAAGGCTTCTGTCAACCAAAGTGTGAGGGCGTAGATGGAAGATAAAGCTTCTGTGCGGTGAACATTGGGGAAATTGCTTGGCCGTGCCTCGATGGGATGCGAGAATTGGATGGATGCACAACCCCGTAATAATCACAACCATCATTACTCAGATATTCATTTTGCGGCATCGGGTTTGCCAAATCCGACACACACGTCTTATGACCTGCTGAATGGATAATGATGAAAAAAAATCTATACATAGCGTTTTCTGCATAACATACAGCGGTACGCAACCATCATACTTCTGAATGCCTGAACGCCTAATCAACACGTCTCCTCTTCTAACACAGAAAGTTGTACGTTTCTTCCGTTCTTTTCCGACTTTATGCCACCTCGGCGATGCCAATTTATGATGACAAATTCAACAGTATTTATTTTCATGACCAGGGTGAGATGTCCAGTTGATTGAAATTTGACAAACGGAAAGACTATCACGTTGTGTTAATGAATTTAGCAGGTCAAAGCCTCTAGAACGAGTCGGATCCTGCGACCTGGGGATTTCGTATAACTTCGTATAATGTAAACTACGGTTGTGGCTGGGCTTAAAAATCTTTCTCCGTGAGAGTGCTAGTTCAGCCAAAACATGCTAATTTCATCAACTGAAACGTTTGACTTCCAAAAAGAGCATACGGACAAGGGTTTACACACCTGCTGCCAGTTTGGAATTCGTTTTCTTGATTCTTCAGCCCCTCGATAGAGCACACCACCGTGAGATGTGATAGCATCAATTAACAACATGATCATCTTCCGATTTTTTCCGTTATTTCTCGCCTCTTCCGGCGCCTTCACTAATCACGCCCCTCACACCCGTCAGTTTTGTTCTGGTTCTGTTCTGAAGTCCGCGTGAAACATGAGCAACGAATGAATGGATTAGTTAATAAAACGGAAATGATCAATACAATTTGTTTAGCGTCGCATTGGATGTTGGGAGACTTCTAAATATAAAACTGCTGACCTTGCTTTTTCCTTCCTTATCCATATGAAGATCCATCCAAACAATATTACCAGCAAGACCGAAAATATCATAAATCCGCCCAGTTCCGACATTGAAGGACAGCTGAAGTAGAAAAAATATACTAATTTGAAATCAAACAAATAACACTTCTTTACAAATATTCACAATTTGTACGTCACGTACTCTCTATTTCATCTTCAAAACAAGCACAATCAAAACTCACATTTGCAATGAAAACGCGGTCACATAAAGGTGGTTCTATGTTGTGCTGACGAAGGAATTCCGGGCTTAGGCCGAAAAGGTCATAGCTGCCCGTACGAGTGGGGCGGTCGCGTCCTCGGGCAAGTGGCAGCACGCTCGCATTTCGCCAAATAATCCACTCCTGTTTCTTCTTGCACTTTACGTAAAAACGCGACTGGGTCCTGAAAATGGCATTAGTGCATTCCCATATAAGGTCAACAACGATGCGGTGCGCCCTCTCTAGTTGGCAGAGTGCATCGACTTGATCACTGTTTATTTTAGATCATCGAGCATATATGACAGAACGAATTTTGAATGAGACTTTACTTGGGTACGGAGGAGCGCCACACTCGAAGGAGAATATTAAGGACCAAAGAACACCCATGATGCTGCGCTCCTACTGAAAGGGAAGGTCAACAGGTAAGCCCTGCCAGTCACAAATGTTGGTATGTCGGTGCATGACCCTTGAAACGTTGCGCTCTGGACTGCCTTACATATCTGCTTAGGACTCTATAACGAATTCATTAAACCAAGAGCATTAGTAGTAGTAGTAGCACGAACACATGGAGGTGGTTGTGGGACCAGATCTTAAGTCAGCTTGTTTTTTTTTCAACTTCTGGGAGACATAACTACTCGCCTTTCGAGTTTCTTTTGCTTTCGCATAGCTAATTAGATTTTTGACATTCGTAACTAACTTATAATGTATGCTATACGAAGTAGCCATATGGGGCCGAGATTACGAATGGGCCCGCTTACAGGTCCCAAGGAATCTGATGATGAATGAATGGATTCCATCCCCAAGTCAAACTTAACTGATAGGTTAGAACTGAACTTTCTGATTGAGGCATAGGCGGCGACGTACTGGCGACCCTCCCACTTCTCCCAGGTTAAGTCAAATTCTGAGATTTGATTCAAAATCCGATACTAACATTTTTCCTTTTCCTAACTGGAGTCTAATTCCCTGAACACCAAAGTCGTAATAACTGACCTTGCCACAAAAGTGAACTTGTGGCTGCAGGTACCATGCGCAAGTAGCAAGTAGTGCCCAAACCTGTGAGGAACTGCTCGCGAACTCTCATACAGGCACCTCTAGGCAAGCAATGATAAAGCAATGTATTGTAGTGATTAAGGCATATCGCCGAAACAAAAAACATAACAACAATCTTTCTTGCAACCTCGATCTCCGATTTATTCCCTGCGAGACCTGATCACTGGATACCCTATACCTCCTCGCTTGCTCGAAGAAACGCTCATACGCTACAGCATGCAAGACAGTGCAAAACGGTGAAGAGTCTATGACTCGTTCTGCAGACGCAGAATGCAGCCATGAGCTCAGCGGTTCCAAGGTGAGTGCACCGATGCATACCTCAATGCAAATGACGACCTCACGCAGTTTCCTCTGCGCTAAAGATCATTTGAGACACACACGTTTTTGGAATCGCCCTACTGTGAGTTGTGCGCGAGCCTCAACCCTACGAATCAATAGGAACATAACATGTGTGAGCTGTTACATTTTCGTGCTTTCGCACTGTTTATACACTTTGAGATTATTCTTCATACAATCACTATGGTGTTTGTATGCAATTGGTTCCAAACTGTTCCGATGTAACCAGCCGTCAAGACCGTGATATTTCGTCATGCTCAAGGGCTAAGCATTTCAGCTGCCGTTGCAGTTAAGTTTATGTGAGAAACCGCTATTCTTCGTTCACACCCAAGCTCACTCCTATTGACGGTTACATCCTTTTGAGGTATTTACAAATGGCGATAAGTCTTTTCTGGCGAAAAGTGAGCCTCACTTGAACATCTAGTTTCGAACGATATCGAAACCTGCCGTGTCGACAACGGGATTCCTCCAGAATCGCCGCAGCTGTCAAACACAAGGTGTTCTAAACCCAGCAACTCAGACGCTTCGAGAGAATAAAAGGGCCGCACGCTAGCCATCCAGGTCTCAGGACTTCTGTCAACCGTGAGGCTTGGCGTGGTTCAGCGTTATGTAGTGACGTCTAGGAGCTCTCACAAGTGCACACTATCTGCTTTATCTCCTTCAAAACTCTTA